GAGAAATTTTCACTTTTGATTTTTTTTAATAAAAAAATCACATATCTCAATAAGTATTTATTATGAATTTTTTCAATTACCCCTTATAATTTACATTAACAAAAAAATTAATGTATGATTAACATAGAGTATTTTAGTTTAATTTTTTTTATTTTCAAACATAATTATTATAATTAATTAATTTTTTAAAATTGTGTAATACATTTTTTCTCAACCTGTTGTACGGTCATTCATGCTGCATGACACCAGATTTGAACTTGGCCTTCATCAATATCATTAAGTAAAGAACCTTGAATTGACTGGTCCTTTAGGCTTCAGTGTTGTGCGTTGTGAGTGTAACTACCCTGCCGTATGTTCAACCCGATCAGATTTCAGGAACACCACCCTGCAATGCAACAACACACTCAAATTAGTTTGTGCCTAATCATTACTCCTTTGGACAAAAATGTAATGATCCTACATTTTAAATTGAAAAAAAAATTTCTTAATGAATATTTTATTTAAATAAATTTATAGTAAGTAGAAATTGATAGTTTAGAGGAACTCATGCTAGAAATTTTCTTGAGAATCCAAAATTTAAATTTTTCTGACCAAAAGGTTAGTTTTAAAATTTTAGAAAAATCTCATGTTCTTCCTTGTAATATTATTGTGCCTTTTCTTGTAATTTTCTCATGCTCATTCTTGTAATTTTTCCAAAACTCCTTTCGATCAGTTTTTTTTTTCCTCAAGCGAAATGAAAAAAAAAAACACAAAAATAGAGCATTTTGTTTTTGGTTCTCCACTACCATTATACACTCTTCTAGATGCTCCTAGTCGGTTCATTTCCTTTACTCTTATAAACCTTCTTAGTTTGCTATGGTAGGAGATCATTTTGCTGCTGTTACTTCGTCCTTTTCATTCATGTTTCCAGCCACGATAAAGTTCAGTTGTTGACTTCCTTTCCCTATCTTCGTGATGACCTGTGTCAACATTAGCCCATGAGGTATGTGCTAGCTATTATTTTGTGTTCTTATCACTAAGAGGGAGAGCATAAAGTTGCTGAATTTTTTAGTTTGTCATTCCCTAATACTGTCTCTATTCTAAGTTGACAGCCATGTGTGTGTTCATTTTCAATATCGCCAGTCTTCTAAGTGTCAGAATAGCAATGCCTTTCTCTCTTAGTTCATGTTCTTCTATTACCGTCGCTGGAGGTGTGGGCGATTGGAAACTTCAGTCTTACTTCTCCTCCATTCGTGCGTCACTGTGGGTGCAATTGTTGGTGCGTGAATTTTCCTTCCTCTGTTTCGGTCCACTTCTTTCTCTTCCTCTTTCTTATCATTACAGGTTCATGTCTGAAGGTTTAAACTCCTTGTTATTAATTTGATATGTGGGCATTTTAACAGTTGAGGTTGCTAATTGTGCCTCTCTTTGCTGAACGTGTGTGTGTAGGTCAAAACTAATAGTTATAAAAAAAATTTTCCTATTCAGCTTCGAACTCCTCCCCTCCATTATTCTTGTTGTATGTGGCCGGTTTGAGGGAGCTTATCCTCCAATTTTCATCTTTGATGATCTTGTGTGGTATATAGATATATAGTGGTTTTCATTACTTGCTTGTTTGGCTGTGAAAATGCTGTTTCGGATTGAAATTTTGAGTTGAAATTGAATTTTTGGATGGAGAATTAGATTGGAAAAGCAAGATGAATTTAATGATGTATGTATGGAAATCATGGGTAAGACATTGAGGCTGAACAAGTTTTACTGAATGACTTAAAAGTTGTGCATACAAGGTATTGGATATAAGGCTTGAGAGAGAACTATGTTCCAATGAAATAATTAACTATGACTATAGTTTTATGAAGAATTTGTGATATAAATGATGATGTTTGGGGTAACCTTTGAATCAATTAGATGAATTTTGGTAGTGTTAAGGATTAAAAATTTAAATTTAAAATCAAGTTTTTCTCTTACAGGAGGTCGAATCTTTATATCAAATTGAATCCAAGAAACTTTATAAAGAACTTGTTAATGCTTGAGAATTGTATGGTTGACGATTTATACATTTGGTACCTGTGTATGATTTGATTTTTAAATGCATATAAGATATTTGATGAAATGTTGTAGGAAGAGTTTAAATGTAAAAAATGGTATTGTTTGGTTGAAATGTGTCATTGGATTTTTATGACCTGTGTGCTAGAAAAGAATGTAGAGGATATGAATTTCTCTAGAATGAAAATTAAAAGATGGGTGTCCAAAAGCAATGTTAGAATATACTATAATAGTTGAGTGAATGGGCAATTATGAGTTTTGAAAAATTTTTAAGGTTCAATTATTATTATATTAGGTGTTTCAGAAATAAACCTTATGGGGAATGCTAAATGGGTAAATTTCAGTGTTTGGATTGCCTCAGGTAAGTGGATAGCGTCCCAACTAATTTATTAATTAATTTTTCTTATTAAAATTTATTTTGTTACTTTGATTATTTTAATAATAATTATGTTGGTTAGTGGATACTTTGTTAATTAATTTTTTTTAAGTTTTAAGATGGTGGTGAAAAATGATTTATCATAGCATATGAATGTTTTACCCCTTATGGGATATCCTTTCAAGATTAATAAAATTCTTTTTCATTATCATTGAAAATTTTTGATTATTTAATAAATACAAGTATGAGCATTGGACATGAAATTTGATTCTGGCAAGTTTTAATACTTAAAAGTATTTATGCGAGTTTGATTTCAAGAATAAAAACTGTATCTTGAAAGTGATGATTTTCTCACATGTTTGAAAATAGTTTTGAAAAGAGACTTTATACAGGACACTAGTTGCTAACGGCAATTCCGTTAACCCTTGGCACATTGTGGTGTACCTAGCTAGCAAGGTATTTATAGGAGGTGCTAGCCCAGTGTGATGGCCAATGCATGTGGAACAGAGGGATGGTTATTCGTGAGTATCGTATTCACATTTGTTTCGTGGCTTCGGCTGCGTTTGGTTACATACCCTGATACCCTTATAGACTGTGTGTTCACATTTATTTTCGTGACATAAGCCACGTTTGGTTATTTACTCTCATAGACTGTGTGTCCACGTTTGTTAATTATTCTAATAAGTCCCGATAATTATGAATCCAATCATTTGATGATTTTATATACTATTAGTTTTTATTTAGAAATTTGTTTATAAATATTTATTTCATTTATATGCTTTCTTGAAATCAAGTGATATTATCATTTTCTATAATAGTTCAATAATTTGAGATTTTATTTGAAATTTATAGAGCCATTTTATTATGAAGTTTATTAAATTTTTATGAAAATTTTGTCTATTTAACTTACATAACTATTTTAGACTTTTCATTTTATTTATGTTCTATTATTTATTGTTGGAACGTTATTCATTAAAAAATTATTTTGGTCTCAGATACCTTAACTGACGTCGATCTTCTTGCCGATCCTTGAGCACTTATAGACAAGTGGAGGGTTAATTGAAATTTTTCTTTTGATGTAATTATAAATGTTTACATATCTTATTTTTTTTATTTTTAAAAAGTATGATTAGGTGCTCTACATAAGTTATAACTAAAATTTTATTTATATATATATATATATATATATTGTTTGTCGGCTGAAAGGAGCTAAACTCCTGATTTATTTGATATTTAAATATTTTGACTGCATCAATGTATTATAGAAATTTTAAGAGATTCTATTTACAAGAGGAGTTTTGTCAAAATGTTTATGAACATGTTGCAACTTTGTTATAATTATTAGTGTCAAAAGTGTTATAATTTCAATATAAATCTGATTTAATTGTGGAAACAGAGTGAATTTACGATCTAAGGCTTACAAGGATGTGTGAAACGGTTCACACCCTGTGCCGGTCACTCTCCAAACTTTGGGGCACGACAACAAATATGAGACATTAGTAAGTAATTCACGGTTTCAAAAAATATTAATTAAAATCTTAATTTCTTAAAAAATTTACATCATTTTAATTTTACCATCATTAAATACCTTATATATATTGCCAACTATTAAATACCTTAAATAAGTGTTCTAATAATAATAATAATAATAATAATAATAATCAAAATTTCAATGTATTATTATTGTTAAAAAAAAAGAGCAGTTGAAAATAGACTAGGGAAGGCTTATAAAAACTGTTATATATATACACACACGCACACAGATGTGGAAGGGTATTACGTTGGATTGCCCCATGAACTGCACAATGGCCAGAATAGCCCATCAACTTCCCGGACCAGTTACTGTTGTTGATGAATGATGATGCCGCTCTTGGGCCGTCAACTCCTTACTCTAGTGCCCGCACTACCCATGCACTATAGTGCTTTCTAGTTGGGCTCCTGTCCTTTTTGAACCCAAACAAAATTTCCGACAAATAAAAAAAGACATCAGAATAAATTCTAACAGCTCAAATGCCCGATTTAATGCTATACTGGAACGAAATATTCTTTTTATGAAATGTGAATATGAATGGGAAAATTGGCTTGACATATTATATTATAATCAAATATAATTGAAATGCATAATAACAGTTTATATTTTATACCAATTTTATTACGGAGCACATGTGGCCTGGCTGCATCATAAAAGCTTTCCATTCTTCTCCACCTAACAAACATTTCTTTGTTTTTTTTTTTTTACACAACTCAGCATCGTGTGTGTGTGTGTGTGGTACATATATTTTTATTTTTGATAGATTATAACATATTTTATGTAAATCATGTGAAATAATTAGGAAAAAGACAATTTTGTAAGACGAGGTATTTTACTCGCGATCTATAAAGGTGTTACTTTTTGTATGAATTTTTTATTTTAATAATTTTTAAAACATGAGAATTCTTGGCTTGGCTATGATATAATCGGAAATTATTGGAATAGGAAAAATCAAATTAAATTCGGCCGTCGGCCCATGCCTGCTGCAATAAAGCAGCCTACATCGGCATTCGTCCCCGAAAAGATATTGCATCGCTGGACCCATTTAACATTCACATTAAGAAAGGACTAGATTACCCTCCCTTTCAAATCCCGTCTCGCTCGCTCTATTTCCCTGTCGCGGAAAATAAGAAGATAGGATTTTCAGGTCGTCTCTAGATTTCCTCTCCCTACGCAACCGTTGCGGGAAGCGGAACATGGCCTTCGCCTCTTTTCTTGGCAGAGTCCTCTTCGCCTCCGTTTTCATACTCTCTGCTTACCAAGAGTCAGTATACATGTTCCGTTGACTCATTTTTCTTTCCTTTTATTTTTTTTTCGTTTTTCATTTTCGTGCGATTTCTGTTTATTTCTAGCGTATATGTCTGTATTTTTGTATTTATTAGATAGAAACTATGATCTTTAAGTGAGTTCTTCAACTGATTCTTTCTTCTTTTGGGTAGTTGCTATGCTCGGATCTGTTGCATTAAAGTTTTGAACTATGTCTGATCTGTTTAGCGTAAAAGGTCTGAGTAGATCTATGTTTCATACTTTGATTTTTATTGAAATTTTCTGGGATAATAATAGTATCTGGGTCGTTGCAAGCTAGTCATTTGCCATAAATTTCGAAGATGGATGAAACTTTTCGAATGCCTATTTGACATTATTGGTAAGGAGTTGGTCACTGGCATTCATGAATCATTCATTAAAGGGGCTGCACTTGAATAAAATTGCTTAAACTTTTGATTTTTTTCTCCTCATCAATATCGTTTTCTTGAATCGGTACGTCTAGGATGTCCTAGTCTGTTGAGGCCTGGGGGTGTTATTCCCATGACATGTTTGATGCGCTGGGAAATGGGAACGAGATATATAAAGAGATCCTTTTTATTTCTTTGTAATTAGTACTAAATAAAGTAGCCATGGTATTATGCCTATTACATTGTAATAATACACACCCAAGTTAGATAGGGTCTTTACCTGGGCATGGATCTATACTTACGATTATTTTATGCATTCACTGCTCTAGTTTACTAGTAAGATCATCAATTGTTTAGGGTTTTGGTTGGGACCCAAGAGTCCAAGTATGATGGGAACTGTTTGCTATTCTTAGCATGCTGTATCGACTGAGTTGGACTTAACTTTTCATGATGGCAGGCATCATTAATTCTACCGCCTTGATCATATGTTGTACTGCTCATGCGTGATTGTTTTGTTCTATCTTCGATTCCAAATATTCAAAGTCATTGAAATTCACCCTTAGAGTCTCAAAGTCTCTATATAATTAATTTGGATGCTGCAAAACCAGCTGAGCCTTCTTTTTTATTGTGACTTTGTTGCTCTGGCCTTGTAGATTCAATGAATATGGGGTTGACGGGGGAGCTGCATCGAAGGCACTTAGACCAAAGTTTGATGCTTTTGCACATCAGTTCCATTCTCATGTTGGCTTCCAACTTCCAGAAATTGATGTAAGTCACTCTCGCTCATTTGTATACTATCACTTAGTTCAGAGACATGATTAAGACACAATGAAACATTGGAAATAGAAAGTTAATGGGTAGAAAAAGAAGAATGTGAACAAATTGCTTGTGATAAATGGGGACAGTCTAGAATTTGAAGTTGGAGACAGCTTGTGATCTCAACAACGTTTTCATATTTTTCTTCCCTTCTAAAGCATCTCACTCTACTTAATATATGAGATGGATGAATTATTACTTATATAAGGCTTTCTATTGGGCTTGACGCTCACAGGCACTTTTTATGCCTTTAATTAAACATTTTGGCTCTCAAGAATCAAGGTGATTGTGTTTTTTCTGGTCATGAATCTCAAAGGAGAACCAGCAGCAATGGAAGTAGTGGAACTGTGAACTCTTTTTAAGTTTCTTTCATCAATATTAATGTTGTGTATGCTTTGGATCACAAATTTGTAATTTCAGATGGAATACTCTGCTTTGCATGCAGCATGTGTGGTGCATAGTTCCTGTATTTTAACATACCCTTTTTTATATAATGAGCAGATTAAATATTTAGTTGCTGGAGCTATTGCACTCAAGGGGATTGGGGGTCTGCTTTTTATCTTTGGAAGTGCCTTTGGAGCTGTCCTTCTGGTTTGTAGTTGGATTTTTCGTAACGAATTAATTTACACTGAAATTGGATTTCATCTTTTGGCCTAGCTAGTTTTACAAGCTATGGTTCTTTTTACTGTAGCTTCTGCATCAGATGATTGCGACTCCAATACTGTATGACTTCTACAATTATGACAACGAGGGCAAAGAATTCAATCAACTTTTCATCAAATTTACACAGGTCAGAGCAGTGTTCATTTTCTAAACTTTTGGTTTACTTTGATCTCCTTATGCTGAAAATCAAGCTGTTGCCCTGGTTAACGGTTGCTGCAATTATTTATGTGCTTGAAATACATCTTGCAGAATATGGCTCTTTTTGGGGCTCTGTTGTTTTTCATTGGAATGAAAAACTCCATTCCTAAAAGGCAGCCCAAGAAGAAGGTTCCCAAAACAAAAACCTATTAGTGGCATCAATCGGGAGTTTCTCAGGTTACTTGCTGGTTCTTGCCATTCCTTAACCCTCCAAGATATGGCCAGGGTTCGTCGTGTCTGGTTCAGAGCCAATTTTCACTCTTCAATTTTTTTTCTTTAATTTATGGTTTCTCTTTTGGGCAGAGAGGTTAGGAACTATCTTTCAATAGCTAGGCTAAGGCTTTGTCTGCCGAGAGAGAAAAAGTAAAGTCCAAAGCCTGTGCTTTTCAAACTTCGAGTGTCATTCTTGATTTTTGTTCTGTTCTGGCGATCTTGGTATTAGTTTCAGGCACAAGAACTCTTAGAAGTTGCTACTATCTTGAAACCTAACTGGATCTGTAGGTCAGCTTCTTTCTTTATTTATTTATTTTTTTGGCGCTATCTGTAGTAGTACACGCTCTTGCCAATCTCTTGGTGATTCCTCCACGTCGCCGAATCCTATGCCCTTTTTTCTCGTTAGATTGTAATGCATCCGATTCCTCACTTGCCAGCAAATGCATGCTATGGAGGAGCTGCAAAATTACAAGTAAATTATTTAAAAGCCACTTGCCAACTGGCATGGGCTGTTGTTCAAGCTAGCTTCGCAAGAATTAAGGAACCCGAGTGAAGAAATATTTATGTAGTATGGGACTGTGCCATTCAACATCTAATCACCTATCATGCTTCAGAAACACTATTTTTCTAATTATCTTCTTAATCCTGATAAATTTTAAAGTGAAATGGGAATCTTTTCTCAGAGTGGCAGCTGAAATAATTTATCGAGAATCTGTTGCTTTATCATTGTCAACCGTTGAATGGGAAAGCGTACAGAAATATCAACGTTTATATGTTTTCTAACATCTTGTGGGGTTATATCGTATTCCTAAGTGACGATATAACATTACTTTTCGTGATGGTTAAAAAAACTTCATTTATGCACGAATTAACGAGACATTTTTGCTGTGTTTTCTTAGTCTATTTCTGATTTTCCAATTATAGATATAGAGCGAGGAAAGCCAATGGCACAGCATGCAAAGACGGTGGGAAAGAATCATTTGTCGACCAAACTTATCTGAAAACGTATGTCCTTTAAACCTTAGTAAAAACCCAAATATCTGAAACGGATCCTCGAGCTCCTTAACATCTGCAATCAAGTCCCATAACTCCCATAACTTTAAGAGCTTTTAGATTGTTTGAAACTGTTTTTATTTTATTATTATGAGAATTGGTATTTTGTAGAATATATTTTAAGAATAAAAATAATAATAAAATATTTTTTTTTTCGTTTTCCCTTATTCTCCAAAATAATAATTATAGAACACCTAAAAATTATTTTTATTTTTCTGTTCTTCAAAATAATATTTTATTTTTTTATTCTTCAAAATATTTTTTAAAAACAAGTTATTAAATAAATTTTTTTATTTTTTCATTCTGAAGAATAAAAAATTATTCTCAAAATAGATTTTCAAGCAGGCTCTTTGTAATCCTTAGAACCCCAATAATAATGCTTGTAATCCCCGTAACTTTTTTTTTTTTTTGATTCAAGGCTGCCAGATAATTTTTTGGACAGACTTAACCTCCAAGACTAGTATAAATAAGATCCCTTCCCTACGCGTTAGGCATCAAGCAATAAAGTGAAGACTTTCCTTTCTTTAGTTCTGATCCAATATCAATCTTTGAATCTAAGCACGTAATCAGTTGAACTAGTACAGTTGTTTTGTTTCATAATATGGGTTGCATTCTCAGCAGTTCCGGCTACTTCAGAAGTTCTGAACCAGCTTAGGATAAACCTACCAAAGAAATTTCCAAAGTTCCGAGCGTGAAACACGGGCTCGTGCAATTCTGTTATTTTCAATATCAAACCTTATAAACAAGTTGTAAAAAACATTCCAATCATACATCAACACAAACACCATTTAGCATTCTCAACACACTCAATCCTCTACCTAAATAGCAACCATCGAATGCAAGGTAATTTTCCCGTTCCTTGACCTCCCCTGCCGGAGCAACTGGGATTGATGAATACAAGAGACTTCAAGCATCATTTCATAGATCAAGAATGAGGTACAGCAGTCAGTGAAGGAGCGAAGATGCTTCCCGAGAATTGACCAATCATTGTGAATGCATGGTACTCTGGGATTGCAGCATTTGCACGAGCGGCCACAATATATCTAATCTATGTACATTTCTGTTGTTTTGGCCCTGTGACAGGTTACTCGTTATGAACTTGCAAGTGCAAACTTCAATCCAGGCTATGGCAGATTATTAAAATAGCAACGTATCTATCCATTAAGATAATGATAACTCCAATATAAGGGTAAGGGATTGACAACTCAGTTGATCTTTAATCACAACAGTTTTGACTTCAGACATTTTAAGTCATAAATTAAAGTATGCAACAACAAAAGATAGATTCACATGCGATGCTATTAACTCAAACTAGGACGCATGCAGGAAAAACTCCAGTAAATGATCCCAACAAGATTTGAACTTGAATTCCATGTACCAAGGGGATTACAATTGAATTGAGTCAGGAAAAAGGATAGGCTTCAGGCAAACAGATGATCCAAAAAGAAGGAATAGAAACGACGCATTAGATGCTACGAACAATAGATTGAAAGGCAGATACGGGTTGTCTAACTTCCGAATAGATTTGAATTTAACTTTTGATAATTATTAAAACTAGTAGAATATCAGTCATCATAACACCTAAATATGTGGATAAAACTTTCATTAGAACCATAGGAACACGTTGCCCGCAATTCTATGTTATTGGTTCAATCCTTTGAGAAAAGGAAAACGGAGAGGCAAGTTCAGATTTACTAAAGGGAGAAAAAGATCTTTACTAATTATTCTGGTCCTACCTCAACCACAAAACAAATCCATGTCTTCTCACCATGAGCTTCTGTCGTACCCGTCAAAATTGTCAGGCCCAAGCTTCTTATGGCTTCTGCTATCTCAAGAAAATGGGTGCACTCCTCACACAGCATCTGCAGCATAGGACACAACTAGAATTAAAGAAATAAATAAGGATTCAGCAGTTGATAAATAAAGATTCAACATAAGCCCAAGAAAATATCTTTAAAGAGCCTCCAACCCCCTGCCCAACTTGCTGGATTCTCATCAGTTTCTCAATTGCTCCGGTATGTATTAATTTCTACTCAATCAAAACTGTAATCCTCAACTTTCGCATACCTCAATGAGCATCTGCCCATTCTTGTTTAGATTCTCCACTAATATTGAATGAACTTTCAGATGGCCCCCTACTTCCATTGCCCAACTTGAACCCTGTTCATAACCAGATGATCCAAGAACATCTGCTTCCATGTGATGTACCTGCAAAACCACAGTACAATATCAAATTTGTGAACATTTTCCTAATGCATAATTGCACATATGTTAGTTCATGAGGTTAATTATAATAAAGGCCTCAATATTCAGTTATCACTTATCCTGTTTAGAAAAGTAGTAGTTACCGTGGGTGAAAAAGGTAGACTACTGAAATCCCATTAAACCTCACCTTTGTCTTGGAGTCTGCAAATTTGTTTAGCTTGTCAGCATGCTTAGTTATGCTCTGCAAAAAGAGCATGTGCTTTATTGTGCGCTCCAGCAGCGAATCAATACTGCACTGTTGGAGTTATTGCAAGATTTTTAGCCAAATGAAATCAGAAAATCAGATGTGATTAACAAAGACAGGACTAAGAAACATGGATAACTGGGACATACCTTTGCTCCATTTGGCACTAGCTCTCTCAACTCCTTGATACGATCTTGAATCAGTTGTCTGTCCCTTGGCCTAGGCCTACAAGATTCCCCTGCCCTAGCCCTCTTCTTGTTCTTAGCTGGTTCAGAAGACCTTTCGAACTGTTCATTACATGAACTATGACATGCAGAAGAAAAACCTTTGGGGGAAATTACACCACGAATTCCAGATGAACTCAAACAGGGCTGTTTGTCCAGAGAGGACTGATCTATAGAATAACATTCTGAATTAATAGTGCGCATGGTATGAGTAGCAGCTTCAGGATTTGTTCCAGATGCTACGCCAGACTGCACTGATGAACAAAATGATAAGTCACTATTTGCGTCATTATTACTGTGGTGAACATTGGCTACAACTGCCTCCAAAAGATGTTCTTGACGAGACTCAGAAGTCAACTGGCTACAGCTAATCTCATCTGGCATCTCTGCAGTTTTAATATCTTGATTCACCCATGCATCCCAATCACAGCATTCATTACGTCTCAAAAAAGCTGGTCCAAGTGCTTCATGCAGCTCCCAGCCAGCAGGGAACTTCAACATTGTGAATGGGACATCCTTGTAACAAGGACTAGTCTGAAATTCTGACTTTAATCTGCCCTTTTGGAAGTCTGCATCTGAAGGTCTAGAGACACTGGAGACGCCTTGTTGGTTAGGCTCCACATAAGGTAGCTTATCACTTCCATGAACAATAGCATCAACAAAGCCTGCAGGGATGCCAGCAGAATGAGATCCAACCTTCTCTGGTGGAGATATTAAATCTTCGAAGCTATTAATATTTGAAACAGAATTCTGTGACAATGATGGCATATTTTTTTCTGATTCCACCCTCACGTGTTTGCAGCCACTAGTGCCCACTGCATAACCTCTCTCATTTAGAGATCTGATCTCTAAAAATTTCTGATTCTCCAGATCCATCATATTTGACATTGACTGAAGTAAGATGTCACTTTCATCAAAGTTAAATTCAGAACCCCCATGCTTGGCCATATCAACAGCCATTTCCTGAGTAACACAGGAAGGTAAGTTGTTGTCAGAAAATGGGGAGGACATCAAATTATTCAGTGTCTCACTCTTTCTGATTTTCTCCACATCCTGTAAGCAAGCAAGTAAAATATTCAAAGAAAACTTTTTCATCAATATATCTGGCTGATAGAAAGAAATTTAAGCATTCTGATAGTTCTTAATGTATCTCAATTAAAAACGTGCAGAGCACATGAAAGTACAAACATGCAGAGAGAGTTTGAGATAGAAAGTTACCAGAGGCGAGAAATTCTTTGCACTACATTGTATTTGGTTAAGTGTATGGCCTATTGTGTAATGCTGAGTAGGCAGAAAAAGATTTCTGATGTGAGTTACAATATCCGCATCTTCTATCACCTGCTACCAGGGATGGCAGAAGCAGAGCAGACATTTAAAATGGACCTCTGGATTTTACATTCAATGTATGTATGAAAAAAAATTCCATCCAACAAAATCATAGATCAGTCCATGACGAGAGAAAAATGCATAATTTTATAACAAAAAGTAAGTTAAAGATCTAGCAGAATTTCCAACAAAAATCATCAACATAAAAATATTTGAGATAACTATCTTCTTGAACCTCATCAGCAGTGATAAAGAGTTTAAGCAAAGCAAATAACAAAAAGACTTTGCCTTACATTATTTAATGAGCCAAGCTGAACAACTCCAAGTGGGACCACAGCTACAACAGCAATGGTCTACAAGGCAAGAAAAGAACTTTGTTGATAAAGAAACTTAACAGTTAACACACGACCAAGTTCATGAAGCAATTCAGGCCAGAAAACCATCTTTGAAATATAATCAGTAATTTTCAAATACATTGTACAACAAAAGTCTAGATACCAATTCCTATCATCCTTCATTTTTGTCCTGTGGCAACTGTTTGATTAATTGTAAGAAAAGTTTAACTCTTTTCCTTTTTATTTTATGAAAATAAACCTGGCCAAACAAATTTTTTTATTAAGCATTTATTCAAATGCTGAAAATATATAGTAAACTTTTGATAACATGCATTAATCTTGGCAAATCAAAATATTTGAAATGTAAACAACACAAGTCTGGGTCACGAAAGAAGACCTCTACACTGAATAATGAAACGAGACACCACAGCTGAAAAACGTGACTTTGCAAATAATATACTCCAAATACAACCTGAGGATTTATTAAACTTTTGGCTGAATCTAGTGAAATAGGAATAATGAGCCAGCGTCCTGTTATTGCATAACCATTTATGGTCTTAAATCAATAATCATATTAACCATAATTCTCTGACATGTTGAAAATTGAAATTAAAAAACCCCCACCATTCTTATCATGTAAATCTTTTCTATAAAAAATCTATAGAAGTTCACCCTGTTCACAGGCCATGGACATTGCGGCTTGCTCCCTCAAGTTTCATGCAATGCATGGGACCTGAGATCAGTTATTTCTATTTCTTTTCTTTTCTTTTCTTTTCTTTTCTGGTTGACTATGGAGTGTTCTCTCTTGCTGCAGACAAAGCTTTAAAGTGTTAAAGGATGATATGTTGACTTACCTTGATTCCAACAGAAAACTGGGGTTGCCAGTCATCAACAAACTGAAAATAAAACCAGGGAGGAAGGAGTATAATAAATTAGTGTAATAATGAAAAAAAAATGGTAATATGGGATCTTCAAATGTTATTAGGTGGGGGAAATATACTAGTGAAACTTTAAAAAAGAATTCTCACTTCATATGATGAGCCAGAACCTGCAACTTGATTACCAGAAAAGATCCACCGATGCTTTCCAGTAACAGCTACCTGTCCAACAATACTGTGAAGCAAAGGAGAAATACAGCATGAGATGTAAACTTATTTAGCAAAATAATCTTAGTTCATTAGCTGTCATAATTTTGAAATGGTAGACATTTCTCATTATGACCAGTAAAAGTTTCAATGTTGAGAGAGGCTTAATCTGAGGGTACAAACGAGTAATAGTGAAAAGAGTGTAAAGAAAGAGAAATCCATATAATTTTTGTGGGACAATTAAAGATCAACAGTTTCAGGCAAGAGCTTCATAAAAGCTAACTCAATTTTAAATAGCTTCACTATTTGTTGGGCTATTCATACCCTTCCCCTAAAGTATATACACGATATGACATCTTTGCCACAGCTAACCCCAGAGGGTCATGCGAGAAATGACCACCCTCAACCCGTTCTGAGGCCTGCTGGCTGGGCTTATTCTCTAAGGAGTCATGTTCATCAGGATTGTCATAGTAACCATCCTCCCAAGTCAAGATCCTGCAAGCAAGTACCACACTCAAAGTGATTCAAGGGAATACATCATAATCTATTTCCTTAGACAACAAATCAATTTCAATTGTTCAGATAAAAAATGATATTACCATCTGTGTTAAATATAAAACATCAAATACCAATATCAAGTATAAAACTTACCCCATTGCATATACTATAATGAAAGTAATATAAAGCCCCCTGACTAGACAGAAGGATCACAATTCATCAAACAGCATGCTTTTAGAAAATTAAAGTTTTCTTTCCAAACCTAATGGATGGCAGAAGAGCAAGCAGCACCGAAAATGTTAGTATTTCAAGGATTCTAGGTAATCAATATCTTTAAAGTTCAGATAAGCGATATATGCTTGAATTGCCTAAAAAGTAAACATTCGCATAATACATAAATTCCAATACTCCAAAGTCAAATTTCATACCAAATATGCAAAAACTACAAAAGTACTCTAAGTAATTGCATTCAAAAAGAGGGATACTTGTACAGTTACCAAGATATGGACGCAATATATAAGCTGCAGAACAAGTAAATGTAAAATTGGACATACATGCGAGCATGATGTTTAAGTTTCCAAAAGATGGCGTACTTCCACTCAGAATTCAAACAGAGGCTCCTGAGTACTTGCTGCAAGTTGGTACCCATCTTACTAAGATTTCTACACCCAGACACTAGAAATTGGACGTTCAGTGACACCACAGAAAAGAAAACACCAAAACGCTAATTACCCACAATCCCCGTGACCTAGCTTCCCCTGTAAGATCCTCTTCCAGCTTGCTTCCTTCTCAACCCTGCTCGCCGTTTTAATGGCGGTCCAACTGTTGGCAATAGCAAAAGATCCGTACCCATCACTCGCACAACACGTGCGAATTCCAGTACAAGTCGCGCTACCCAAAGCTTCGAATTCTGCTTCAGGAGCTTCGACGGATTCAGACAAGCGAAAAGAGAAGCAAAACCGCTATACTAAGAACAACAACAGCAGTATCCTTAAGCACACAAATAACACAATTATCCATCGAATGTGTACGAAAGCTCCTCAATTCTTCAAGGAACAAGAGCAGAAAGTTAAGGGGGTCGAGACGGGTTCTAGCTTATATCCGAAGACATGGGTTGACAGCAGAGCTGGAGAGCTGCTAGTACCGAATGAACCTCTCAAGGAAGTTGCCAATAGAAGAAGCGAACTGAAAATTGTTGAAGAGTGGGGTAAAGAGACTCGAAAAGCTTTGAACTCAGAGCAATGAGGATTTAATGAATAAAATTGAGCTACATTTGTCGAAAAAGAAAAGCTCTGTTTTTTCCCAGTTTGCTTTATCAGAGATGGAGCCGGTTCCTAAAGTTCCAGTCGCTCTCTCTTTCTTTCTTTTTTGGGTAGAGGAAGAGAATGTCAATGGTGAAAAATAGTACCGGGGGGAATATGGTCACAATGGAATGGAAGAGTGATGTAATATAGAAGCGCACTCTGTTTCCTTCTAGCTTTTCGCAGGGGAGTGGACACAGTTGATCTTTGCAATGATGAGCAAAATGGCGTAGCCGAACTTGATAAAGCTTCTTCCTTTTCCCTATCACCCTCTATTATCCTACGCATTGGGTGGATTCTAACTCCAATGGCAGTGGTTTGTGCATGAGCCAGAGGCCTATTGGAAGATTAGGGACTAATTCGAGCTTATAATAACTAATTAACATCAACAAGCCCGTGAAGCTAAAATCAAGGAAAGGCAAAAGAAAAGGAATTATCCAATCAGGGTACTAGGAGATCTAATAGTCAATTATAATTGTAAGTTTATTTTAAAAAATTGATCTCACTTATCATTTATAAAAAAAAAAATTAAAATTATGGTTGAGTTTAGACAAATTTTGGTTTTTTGGATAGTACTTAAAGTAATGTCATACTCATAAGCTTTTCAGTATGAGTTTAAAAAAATTAAAAATGAATATCTTGTACCCACTGAGCAAGTTTTTTTAGTTGGGGTAATCTTATCAAGATTTTTAAAATAAAACTCTAATTTTGTCGAGACCGGTTTATCGATGACGGTAGGATTCATATTTTAGGAATGTAAATTTAAACTTTACTATTAATATAAATATTTTATTGGTGAATAATTTGCGACTTGCCAGTAACCTGCAAATTCTTTTTAAGCCTTAAAACATCCTTTTAACTGTAATGAATATAAATGATATCCAACTCATTTAAATTTTTAGTTATTGCCACAAAAAAGCCACCTTCTTTTTCGCATGGGAGTTTGAATGGGCCTTTGAAAAATTCAAACATGGGTCACTTGATGTGTAATTTTATTAATATTATTTGAAATCTTTGACAATTATTTAAACAATAAATTTGGAAAAAAAAAAAACTTTCATCCATAGCAATACCACGGCCATATAATGATGATAACAACATTGAAAACAATATTATCAATGTTAATACAAAATATAAATCAGTTATGTTATTTTTTTATAGAAATCATTATATTATTCATAAGGTTAATAACCAATTACTTTCAATCTTCAAACAATTCTTTATTATTCTTTCAATCTTTTCTTCGTGCATTGCACTTAGCTCTACGTAATTTTTATTTTTATTTTGATTTCTTCATAAATTCCAAGAAAATGAAATATTAAAAAAGAGTATGTAATCTTTGAAAAAAACTCAATTACTATTGCATGGAGGAATGATATCCTGTTCTTTAAAACAATAATAACAATTACTTTCCAAATTCAATGTGAAAAGAAGATAAAATTTAAAAAAAAACTGATAAAGATTTGGATACAACAATACATAAATCTTACTATATTGTTTACCAACAAATTGTAGTTCATTTTTTTTTTTTAATATCCATACTCTATCCCTTCCCCTATGACACATGCACTAGTTTACAATACAATCATTAATCCTTATATTTTTATCAAGTTTTATTTTTAATCCCTATAATTTATTTTCAGCCATTATAATTCATGTAAGTTAACATTGTTAAAAACCTAAGAAACAAACATTACTTAATTTTGCTGAAATTATAAGAATTAAAAACACTAGAAAAAAATTATAAGGATTAAAAGCAAAATAAAATAAAAGTATAAGTACTTATGATTATGCTTTTCTAAATTCAAAAATTTAACCTGCATTTTTTAAGAAGTGTTTTGGTGTGATTGGGCCCTTGGCGAGTAAAGAAAATTATATTTAATTTTAATTGAAAGTAGAGGAGGCCTTATAGAGCCAGTAATTCAGGCCAAGCCCGACGGGTTAGCCTAATTGGCCCAAAAAATTTTAGAATCAGGCTAAAAAAAAAGTATTTTTTATGTTTGAGCCTATTCGGGCCGACCCGAATAGGCCCAAAAAATTCGGGCCAAGCCCGATCGGGTTCGGGCTTAGCCCGAATACCCGAATAAAAAAATTATATTTTTAAAAAATATATATAATATAATAAATATTAATTAATTCTTTAATTTTTAGATCATTTTATACTAAAATACTATATATTTGAGTTCTAGACATCATTTAAGTATAAAATAAAATAATTAATTTCAAAGTAAAAAAATAATTTTAAAAATTAAATTCGGGTATTCGGGCCGCCCGAAGCCTGAAGGAATTCGGGCCGAGCTTGGCCATTCGATTTTTTCGAGAAGTCGGGCTTGTTCGGGTTCGAGCTTGTTCAGGTCGAGCCCAAATAAGCCCGGCCCGCCCAAATTCCCGGCTCTAAAGCCTTATGTATGTGTGTATATTTCCATAAAATCTCAAATAAACCATTATTTGTGATTCCTAATAAAAATTTGGAACATGCTAAAAAAAAAAAACCAAATCTAGGTCTAGGTAACTCGTTTCATATTTAAATTATTCACAAAGTACTTCATTCTTTTCCAAAAGCTCGTCTGAAACATGAAACTAAACTTTTTTACTTAACTTAAGGCGAAATATATTCATAAATATTACACACTTTACGGGTGATATCGCTTATGATGGCCAACAACATGATGCCCCGACTGAGGAAATGATCCTTATCTCTCCTCAATTTTCAATAATTCCTTGAAACCCTCCTCAACCACTACTCAACTTCTTCTTCCCCTCTCAACTATCCTTTCTTCAACCATCATCTCATTTCCCTAAAGTTGTGACTCTTTCTCTCTGTAAGTGTGGCAGCCATGCATGCCGTATGATCATGCACCGATTTCTTTGGGCCACCTTTCATTCTTTCTTTAATTTCTTCATTTGGAACAAATCGAGCATCATGTTTGCTATATATACATCCCACTACTATCTATCTTGTGTTGTTTTTAGTTATTTCTTGTAGGCCACCTTCACATTCTGCAAATTCCCTTGCCCCACACCAACTCAGCATCATTCTAGGAATCCTCATTATTTGTTTCTAACACTGTGATCTTGTGCTATCATCGCGTCCGGTCATCGATTTCGAATCATTTTATCTCCTTTTTTATTGTCATCCTTGCTTGATCTGTCTGTAAGAGTAATTATATAGAACTATATAGGTTGGATTTAGTCATTTATTACCCCACAAGGGACAAAAATATACAAACTCTGGTTAAAAAGTGACATGATCACCTTTGTTCCATTACACCAACTAACTGTGCCTCTACTTTGGCCGTTAAAAGACCCGATTTGTCGGAAGTGATTAAATACAGTGCCTTTAACTTGTTCCTCAGCAGTATTAAGAGGCACAACATAATCATGCCGTCTTTGTTTTCTTGTTTTACATCGAGAGGATCAGATATATATCTCTAGCTTTCGTCAATTATCGAACATTTATAGATATATAGTGATGATCCATCATGTTTGCATGAACAACTTCATTCGAAATTTGACTACCAGAAAGCTAAGTCAAGTAGGTCTTTAGTTTATTGCCTGAAACTTGTTATTACCCTGGCATGGTCAAAACCCACAAACACAGAATAATTATATAGGGCCATAAAATATAGGGCAAAATGCAGAATTTTGATGATTACTATTATTCTTTCATGTTGGAAAAGGGAAAAGAGGAAGAAAAACTTTGGACGGCTTGCATGTTTTTGCAAATAATTTAAGTCTATAGGGTTATCAAAGCTCACGAGGATGATATGGCGATAGGACTAAGTCAACTAGGCTATGCATGGAGGTGCTGCTGTGAGTTAGTGATTCTAATGATAGGCTTTCTGGATAAAGACTAGTGAAAGGACCATGAGTATCATAAATCATGAATGCAAAGTGACCAAGAACAATGATTTCTTCTCTCTCCTTTTTCTGTCAAGTTTTAATTTTTACCTACAGAATTCGGTTAACTATAATTTCTTATTCCGTGAATAATGTCAATGTATAAGAGGAAGAAAATGTTGTTTCTTTAAGGATTAAATTTTGCATTTAGATTCCAAAGGGGAAATTTTTTTTATCATGCGTATGATGGTCTGTTCTTTTTATATTAATTGCTGATTTTCCTTTTTCTCATAGCATCTATGAACAGATTAATTAGGGGCCAAAATCAGATCTTACAGGCAATGTTTTTTATCAGACACTTCATTTAGAAAAGGATGTAGACCAAAAAATAAAAAATCTAGAAAAGGATGACTCAGTCTCCAAAGCCATGAGTACAAGTGTCCTTCTCACCTGCGCTTGCCTCCTTTCTCTTAGTCAAAATCGATGGGCGTGAAAATGGAACACCACACACATAAAAATCCAATATATTAAACACATGAAGAATAATATATAAGTGAAAAGTAAACTAGTGGCCACTAACTAAACAATCTATATCTTTTAGCTTTTTAGCTAGCTACGGGTAGTTAAGCAAGTAGGGTTAACACACTTTACAATATTTCCCTCTGATGAAACTTGCCAAGAAAATCTATCAGTTATCGTATCTGGTTTTGTTTCTTTCCCTGGTCTGATGCTGTTATCTGTAATTATCTCTAACCAAAACGGTGATAGATTGATCTATCGATGCAAGCACGAGGAATCCAATGATAAAACGCTGTAGGGCCAAAATCTTTTTGGTTGAAGTAATAATATTTCAGTTCTTGAGGCTTAAAAAGGAAAAGGGAAAATTAAAGGTTTGTCATCTCGTGGTTAGTAGAGAGTGTGGAGTTATAAACTATGTAAGGAATATCATAATTGGATTTGTAAAACGTTGTATTCTATTCTTCAGCAACACTAATCATATTGTTTTAAGCTGTCACTTTCAGCAAAGGTACATTCGGGTAGAATAATGAAATTCCATATCCAACAGCATGAAATCTGAAATGATACTGTTCCAAGGAAAGTCAAGCATTATGAGTTTTAAAATTGATGAAACACTGTTCTAAAAAAGATATTCCTACCACCATGAAAGGTACAAGTCCTTTTTTAACCACAAGTAATTTTTGCGAGATTAAGTGCTTGATCCAATAAGTAGCTCCAAAAGATAAGGTTGGTTTAGTGGATGCTGTCGTTTAGTATGGCTTCACTAATTCTGTGAATAGTGAGAGAGATGCTTCCTTCTTATTGTCTCACTTTCAGTTCTTTTAAACCCAGCGCCTTCCTCTATTTTCTCCACTGAAAATCTCACATCAATGATTATGAAAAGGGAAAATCTTCCGAAAAAAATAAGATGGAAATCTGACCATATAGCAGCACTTTTGATTGAAGGGGTAATCCTGTCATCCCAAGAACTCAGTATAAAGTATAGATTAACGGTTGTTGAAGATTTGCAGTCAGCCACTAATTAATCAAATTATTCTAAAAGCAAGAGAGAAGAAAATCTATTGGATTATAAGTCATAGAAATTTCTAAATAACTGTGCAAAGAATAAATAAGAGAGAACGACACTGGTATATCATATATATACTTTGAATTAGCCTTTTCTTGGGTGCTGAGTTCTTTAATATAATTATACATCCTTGGCCTGTAGCAAATTGACAAGGATATATCATCACCTTAAATTTGAATATTACAATGCTTGTCACTTTGTTTTTTTGAGTGGACCTGAACTGTAGTTAGTGATGAGGATATTCAGCTGTTGTTTTGTCGTCAGACTGATCAACAATCTTGAGCTGTATGCAATCATGTGAATGAGAAAATGATCATCAGCACTGCTCAGCAATCTTTGGCGAGCACTAGCCGCAAAGCCAGGACATGGAGCTTCACTAGTCATAATTCTATACAGTTTTAAGAGTTGGGACTGTATATTTAAACAGAGAACTAAAAATGAAAGTTCCATGTGTAGTAGCTACTCAACTGAGAATATGCATATATATATATATATATACACACCATCTGAACCACTGATGCAGCATATATGTGATAAATGCTTCCAACACAGGTTAAATGCTAGTGAAGTTTGCTGTTTTTCTTTTGCTTCTTTCTCATCAGAGTAATCATTGTGACGGCTGAACCTTGGACAAAGTTTAAAGAAGATATAGGTCAATTGCGATACGGCTCTATCAGATAAAAATGAAGTGCCTGTTTTACCTATAGGTGAATCGAACTTGAGTTTGACACTTGCAAATTCATACTTCCACAGGAACCACTGAACTCAGATGCTGACCACCTTTTAAAGCAGAAACCGCTGATCGTTGTTCGATGCCTGTATTTGTTTATGCTTATTCGAGAACCTTATTTTTCATATTTTGATCATTTAAGAAACAACTGCTTTTCTTCCATGTTCAACTTTATATGAGATTTTCCCCTAGTTTAGCTAGCAACGAGATACCAGGTGCTATCAGGGAATATTACGTACATCTTAGACATGGTGCTAGAATCTGTAATGGTCAATTGCATGTAGAATTTGACTCTGACAAGTTGAACGTGGTTTTCAATTAAATTCGGGTAGAAGTGAAGCAGCATTTTTTTTTTTTTGGGTAATAAAGTGAAGCAGCTTTGTCATGTGACGGGTTGCAATTTTTAAAATGGGAACAGTTGAGTCAGGGTCTGAGCTTTGGGCCCTTATCTTGTCGGCCTTAGGTCCAAATTGACTGGGTTTCGACCCAAAAGTTTGTCTACTCTATCATCAGCATGAGGCCCAAAGTGAGAGCGCATGTGTTCTTCTCCTGATTTCTTATCACGAGGCCGACTCTTTGGTTGCCCGTAATTATAATCCTGCATCTACACTTGAAAGTACAGCCTGTGCAAGTCTATTAGACAATGAGAATCGCATTGATTCGTGGACAGACATTATTCTCCCCCGGCCCGTCAATTCTTTGCCCTGGCATCTTGGGATTTTGGGAAAATTACCCACAAATCCCAGGTAACAAAATTAAATTAGGTCGCTGGAATTTCATTTAATACCAACAGGCAATAGGTCCCAAAAATTTTGGAAGTGATTGGAAAAATGTGTAAAAAGATCATAATACCTTGACTTTTGACCATTTGACTGGTCATATATTATATAGACTGTTGGGCGACTGGCAATGATAGCAATAGGTTACACAAACGTATTTTATTTTAATAGCTTTTTAATTCAAATATTAATAGTTTAATATTTATAAGTCAAATTTCTATATTTACTACTCAAGTTATTTCATTTACAAGTGGAATTTAACAATTTAATGTTTATAAATCAAACTTTTATATTTACAAGTTGAGTCGTATCATTTACAATTAATCATGTGTCTTTTTTCATTGATTCTTCAAAGCTGTAAAGTTATGAAAATAAGCATGCATAATCCGTTGTAAATGACATAACTTGACTAATATCAACGGTCAATCAATATCAACAGTGACCAGTCACCAATTGTTAATGTCGGCTAGCCAATCATTTTAAGTTGGTCGACACAGCGGGTAAGGTTGCTTCACATATTTTTCAAATTACTCCCTAATCTCTTTAAACATATTGGCATCAAATGAAATTTGGCGGACCTATTTGCATTTAACTTCTTTACTTGGGATCTATGGGCAATTTTTCTGAAAGTTTTTTATGATGTTAAATTGCGCCCACCATTCCTAATATTTTTTTAAGTGCTATTAATTATCTTATTTGGTTTTTTAATCCCTTGTCATTCAAAGCATGGTGATTAAAAGAAATAATAAGATCAGATGCCGACTTAGTGGAACAAAATTATCACTATTATCCACGGACTTTGTTATGATTAGACTAATTGACCATCCATAGTAGAGTTATTTTGAATGGGGTTAACTATGAAGAAGACAAGAACCAACAATTTGTAGTAATGGAGTGTATTATTCCGTTCTCATTTGGGAGGTAAAAGTAAAACAAGGCTCCATGATATATTTCTTGAAATGGAAAAGATAATATGATTGACTAGGTAGTAAATAAATCTCATTGCATTTCATTTAGACACAATGCGAGATGGAGTCAGAGTTAAAAAGGAATCAATAAATTAATTCAAAAATTTATTGAAGACCAATGGGTTGAATTTAGTGGAAGAAATTAATTTCTCACAATATAACTATTAAATTTTTAGTAAAAACATGCTTACATTCAATAGCTAATGGTACCTCTAATAGTAAAATATCTGAGTGCAATGAAAAAAGAAATTCATTAAAAAGACTGCAGGGAGGGTTAAGCCCTAAGTCTGATCTCTTTACCTGTTGGGGACAACAAAAACGAAGCAATCAAATTAAAAAGCTTGGCTGAGATCATGAGATCAGGAACCTTGAAGCTCCTTTTTCTGTTTTGGCCGACAAGTGTCCTATACATACTATTTCTCGTCTTTTTTCATATCTATCTCCGAGTTCCTATCTGCTCATCTATACATGCTGTTTACTTGGAAACAATCAGTCACTGCTAAAAATAGGCTTAAAGTTGTTAGTCAAATGTCATGACTTGCCAATGTAATTCACTGTAACCTGACAAATCCATGCTGTGGTTCAAATATTTCAAAAGAAAAGTGTTATGGAGTTAGTGAAGTGTTCTAGTGTCAGGCTGTCTGCCCTTTTCATTTCCATGAACATTAGTGTGGTGGCTGCAGTATACATGCATGATCATTCTTTTATATATATCGCATATACTTTGTACAACTGGAATTGCTATCATCTTGTTTTTTTACGTGCTACTTCAATATTGGCTTCATATACTGTATAAGAATGTAAAAATACTTTCTTCTTTTTCTTTTTTTTCTTTGAGTAAACGGTTTTCCACCTTTTTTTTTTGTACTATGAAAAATGACATATAATCAAAGTCTCAAAAATCAACTTCATGTCATTGGTGGACCGCAGTTTAAAAACAAAAATCATACTATTGTACTCTATATTGGCTTGATTAAATTCCCGTTTTACCCAGAAAATTCTGGCACCAGTTATGCATCTTAACTACGGAATATTTTACTTTTTTCCTTTATATTCTTAGGTCCTTAAATTATAGCAAGATTTTTCCTACAGATTCTGTTTACCGAAGAATAAGAAATAGTAATTTTATATGAACTTTTAGCCATATTTTTGTGCGTTAAAATTTTTACAATCTATCTATTATAATGATTTAGAAGTAAACAATAGTATGAGAAATCGATTCGCTTCCCCTAAGATTCTTATTTCTTGCCTTTTACTTAAAAGAAAAACATAAAAGAGTACATATTCATAAAACAGCTAATGCTTAAATTAGATACGTCACGAAATTAAAATATTGGAGTTCCCAAATTACTTTTGATGGAATAAATTGTTCCATCTTTAGTGGAATATTTAATCAACGTAGCCAACATCTTTCTGACTCAGTTTTCCATTATCATGTTATACACATTGCGCACACACAGAGATTTCATCTGTATTTATCCGCCTCAAGAATCTGCACCCATCGTCACAAATAAACAGAGAGGCATTAGTATTATAGCTTCTCATTTTAAAGAAATGTCTCACAGAGAGAAGGCATTTTGGGTGATCTATAAAAAATACAGGCCTCACCTTCTCATGGTTCTGGTTGAGGTGGCTGTCACACTTCTCTATTTCCTGATAGAGGCTTCTTTCAACAAGGTGATGAACCTTCAAGTCTTCGTAACCTACCGGCATGCTCTTGGTGGTATTATAGTGCTTCCTTTCGCATATGTTCTTGAGAGGTACATCCTACATACCTTCTTACCTTCTGATGATATCTCAGATTATTTAGCAGTTTCAGTGTTGCAACTGTTGTGAGGAGTGAGGACAAGTGCAAATATTCATACCATTCTCTAAGATAATGTGTCAAACATAACATCTGTTGTGCTTATTTCCTGATATGTAATCAATCTTGACAGAAAAGCTAGGCCAAAGCTGACGATGGCAATGTTCATGGAGCTATTTTTGCTTTCCCTTTTGGGGTATTGTACTTAAGTTTAATTCTTATTTCTTTGCAAACCACAGCATATAATTTAATTGAATTCAACTGATATTTATCTTTCTTCCCTTTCACTGTGGAATAGGTTCAGCCTCACCCTAAACATGTATTTTGCAAGTTTGAAGTGCACCTCTCCTTCATTTGTCACATCAATGGTTAACACAATATCAGCTCTAACATTTATAATTGCAGTTGCACTCAGGTGACTACCTGAAGTAAAATTACTATATATATGGTTGGATTCATGATCTGTTCTGAAATTATCTTTCTGCTATAAAATTACTATATATCAGCTCTAACATTTTTCTACATGTAGATTAGAGGCTGTTGATGTTAAGAACCCTCGTGGAGTAGCTAAGATCCTTGGAACTCTTCTGTCATTGGCTGGAGCTTTGACTATGACTTTGTACAAAGGACATGCTATTCCGAACTTGAAGGGTGCTCCAATCCTAATCAGAGGCCAATCTGGTCATACTAATTGGATTAAAGGATCAATTCTGACTGTTGCAAGTTGCATATCATGGTCAGTATTCTACTTAATGCAGGTAAACTTACCTTTAATAAAGTTTGTCTCCTGAATTATAATGAGAACACGTTCTCTGTTGTTGCTCTGAATTAAACCCGGATAATCCACATTTTTTTATAGTATTTTTCTTTACATTTTAACATTTTTAAACTTGAAAAGAATAAAAAACATAGCATAAAAATATCTTAATTGTTGACTTTTAAAAATAATGTTTAGTAATAAAAATAAAAGGGTAAATGAATCATTTTAAAATAAACGGGTAATTGTTGACTTTTAAAAACAAGTTTATAATTTATGTTCTGCTGAATCTAAAATTTAAAGGGTAATTTGCCCATTTATCCAAAATAAAACAATTTTTTTTTTTTAAATGGACGGTTCAAATCTACTTCCAAAAATTAGCATACAAGCTAGGTGCCTGCCTAGACCCGTTTCTAAAACACAAAACTTGTGAAAGAACAAGACATGGGAACAAATATTCTCAGACTGAAAATTGTTTTGTGAAGCGTAACATCATAGATGGACGTGGAAAAATCTGTCTGTGTATGTTGCAGTCTATAACAGTGAAGAAATATCCAGCTAAGCTTTCGCTCACGGCATGGATAAATTGTATCGGTGCAGTACAATCAGCAGCTTTTACTTTGATCGTTGAACATAAACTCAATGTCTGGTTCATTACATCCAGTATTGAACTCTGGTGCGTCTTATATGCTGTAAGTAGAACTGAAGTTAAAAATGTAGGAACTAAACTTGACTAATTTCCAACTCACCAACTCGAGTGATATGTCATGGCCCTGGCAGGGAGTAATAAGTTGTAGTTTGTGCATTTTCATTCAGTTCTGGACAACGGACCAAAAGGGACCTGTCTTCGTGAGCATGTTCAATCCTCTTGGGACAGTCTTGGTGTCAATCCTAGCGTATTTTGTCATGGGGGAACAGCTTCACTTGGGCAGGTAATGTTCATCTCACTCTCTTCAAGTTTCATAATGTCCATGTGGACCATGTCCCAGCAGTTTCAGATTTATTTTGGCTTTTTCAGTATACTTGGAGGAGTCATAGTTGTGATCGGACTATACTTGCTTTTGTGGGGAAAAGAAAGTGATCAAGATTACAAATCACGGCAACTATCAAGTTTCAACATATAAGCAAGAGGAAAGCAGGACACAGATAGTGACTTCAACGCAGGCAGAAAAGTTGTGCTCTGAATAAGGTACAGTCGTGAAAGATGGGATTTTATGACACGGAAGTGATGAATTGTGTGCAAGTTAAAAGGTTTCTTGCAATGATGGCAAAATTGCAATAGCATATCGCAGATGCACTAAGAAGCAAATAAAGAAGGATATGACTCCTACGATGTATTTCATGATATACACTCCAAAATGGCAGAGCCGGTCTACTGTGAATTTTTCTCATCTATCCAATAATGCCAAATAAATAAACATTTACAAGCAGCCCTAAACAATAGGATATTTGTACATCGCTTGTATTAATAAACATGAAATGATAATTCAAAACTTTGTCATCTTCTAGCTCACTTTGCTTCTGCAAGCTGTGATCGTATGGTCTCAGGGTTCTGCATTTTATTTATGCTGCCAAAAGGGACAGTGACATCAAATTAAAAAAAAAAAAGGGTGAAACTACATTGTTAAGGATGCACATTCAGAATAAAGAACGTATGCAATCAATTTATTAGATGTCAATGCACCGTGCCAACATTCAATGGAAACTCACCAGAAAAGCAGATCTCCACTAGATGCCAACTTTTCAGAAATCCACTCTGGAACTAGTTCTAGCAGTAAATTCAGCTGCTCTTCAACTTCTCCTAGAGAAGAGAAAGTCAGAAAGATTCAGCACAATGAAAATGATTGCATATCTGATAATTGATTGCATATAATTATGTCTTACTACGGTCAACAATATCACAGTGGTTTGAGATTATCTTGCTTAGAAGCTCCTCTTTTGTGACAACTGAACGATTCATTGAATGAATCAAGAGATGAATCATGTTAAATAGCTTAGGGAGGCTGGCAATCATTTTTTGCCGTCTTTTTGCTTGCGCAATAGCTGGATTTCTTTCCTCCATTGTCACTCTCTCCTTTTCTTTAATCTGCAAGTGAAGGATAAACATAGGATACATTAATCAATAAACAAAAGAATATAATGCGCCCTTCCTCGGCTGATGAGAATAACCAAGCATACCAAATAGCAATCATCAAAAGGACAAAAACTAAAAGGGAAAAGAAAGTCTATCTCATATGTCAGCCCGAAGGAAAAGAAAGCCTATCTCATATGCCAGCCCGACAGAGAAAAACTAGTCTTTATTTTATAAATGTCAATTGTTCAACTTTTAGAATAGCATGACCATTCTTTAGGACTTCTGCTAATTAACCTAGGTACAAATGTTAGAAAACAGACTAGTCAAATTTCTGCATGTAGCAACGTATAATGAGGTTTAGGTCATACCGATTGGAGAAGACTCTCTGGGAGAGTATCAAAAACATCATCAGTTGATATGCCGCAAGTAAAATCAGTTTCATTCCCTGCCCTCCGATTTTTCACTGGAGTGTCGAAGTTCAATGACTTCTTCAAACTAGTTGAACGCCTAACCAGCTTGTCCGGTGAACTGTAAGAGCTGTCATCAGGGCTCATGTAACATCTCTTAGGGGTAGGCAGTGAAGGTGTAAGAGTCATCAGCCTAGACGGAGTAGAAGCAACTTTATTTGGAGTGGCAACAGAAGCATCGGATGATTTGAGATTAGCTGGAGAAGCACATATTTGTGGGCCCATAGTACTATCTACACTTGATGAATTTTTCTTCATGATTGATTCTGCAACTGGGACAGATTGAGGGAAGGAGCAGGAGCCTGATGGTGACTTCTGTTGTGCATCATCTGCTTCATCTTTTACAGATTTATGAGAAAAGCGCCTTCTAAATGATTGAGACATATGAGTGGCTGCTGCTGGTTGTCGATGATGTGCTTCAATTGACATGTTAACAGGCACTGACGAATTTTCTTCTCCCTTAGCAGGCTCTGAATTGATTCCCATGGCATTATCTTGCATGCAAACGGGCGCTGCAGTTTGATAATGATGTGCAACTGCATTATTTGGTGTTATTGTAGCAAACGAGGGGGTAGTTCTCAATGTCTCTGAAGAATGATCTTGCTTATGGTGATTGAATGGCACGGGCAGTATTTCTTCTGGAATTTCATCAACCTGGATATAGAAGCATCGATTAGATCTATATACATATACTCGAAAAGCAGGCGTTGTTGAAAATACAGTTGATCAGTAGTACAGTAGATTCAATTAAGTTCCATAAATATCATGTTTTCACTTAGGTTCATTCAGGTTCTAATGATATTTGTCAAAAATAGGGCATAAAGTATGTGACGGCTGATTTCAAGAAAACTAAGAACTTTCGGAATCGGAATATATTAGAGCCACGATATTGATGCCTTACCGGTGGACAATAAGAAGCTATAAATGCAAATTGTATATGTAACTTGATCAACGAATATAAATTCAAGGAATCGAAAGCAAGGGAAATTTAAGTCAAACCTCAGGATGAGATTTATAAAAATCTCTCAACCGTGTCCGAAATAACTTTCTCAAAGACACACTTCCACCTTCAGAGAGCAACTTTGAATCGGATTCTTTCGCATCGCGATTTATTGTAACATAGAGGTCTGGCTTCATACAACTTGTCCGTTCATCTAACCTGAGCACCTTCTTTATAACAAGCGCCTCAGGTAAGATATATTTCAACTGGGCCAGGTGACTATGAGTAAATCTCCTATAGAAGTTACAGGATACAGGGAATACATGAGCTAAGAATGCATTGCTAGAATACAGAGCAGATCTCATTCTTCAAATCGACAATTCATATAAAAATGTGAGCATTAATTAGAGACACACCTATCGGTTAAACATTCAATTTTGGGGCAGATATTCGTGAAAGTTGTTGTGGAACCTTTCAAATGCAACAATCGGATCGAGCTATCCAAGCTGTCAAAGAACTCGCCCAAAATTTCATACCTGCGGTTAAACCCCAAAAGTTAGAGTACGACGAAAACACTCAACAACAGAACAAAGTTCAGATTTATTCGCTAAAACGCAAGTGAACACATCCTACTTTTCCGGCAGCTTGACGGACTCATCAACAGACGCCTTGGATTTACGGGGGGTGACTTCAGCGAAAGATGGTGCAATCTTCCCTCGGGCGGACTTGATCTGCTCCGTACGGTCATGATTTTGCTGCTGGCCTTTCTGTTCCTGAAGGCTTTCAGCGACTTTCCTAACTTCTCTAATGGAGAGCGCAACGCCGCGGTTTCGGGAACGATGTGAGAGCCGTGAGGCCTTCTCTGGAGTTTTCGAGCTCAATGAAATGGGGTCTGGTGATTGGGATTTGGAGGCTGAATGGCATATACGGGGCTTCTTAGATTTAAAGGGTATAGGCTTGGCATCGGAGGAGCTCATCCTTCGGTATATCGAAATTCCGGCAAGAGGGGAATCTGAGATCTCTATCAGAAATGAAGAGTGAGCAGTGGCTGCGTTATATATTAGGGCTTTTTTTGGCGGGAAATCCTAGCTGCTGCTCGTGAGACTCGATGCCACGTGGGATTCCCGCCAAAATGATCCGTTAACTCCCGCGAGTTCTTTGGTGGACTTCCGTCCTTGAGATTCGATATGTAGACCCCTCCAATTTTGGGCCTCTTAGAAGGTTTGTGGCATTGAAGTGAGCAACGCCACCTAATGGGCCTGACGACCCAAATCCTCGTAAAGGTTTGCACATATAATCCGTAAACGACCTCATAGGCTGTATGAGTTCAGGTTCAAAAGCTCCTTTATTCTAAAATTGATTATTTTTTCAAGTCTAAATTTTATCAATTGGGGTTAAGGTTAAGCTTGTAAGTCTTTTTATATTTTAAAATTTTTAATTTTTTTAAAATTTAATTTTTATATTATAACATTATAATATTATATATTATTTTCAAAAAATATAAATTAAAATGTTCAAAAAATTAAAAATAAATAATATAAATTTTAATTTTAAAAAATAAATATATATTTTAAAGTTGGAATTTAATTTAAAAATTAAAAATATACTCTTTTTAGGGGTATAATGTAAAACAAGGGCCGCCAGCACCTAAACATTTTTTATATGCCTTAGATAAGTCAAGTTTAGAAATTCAGTTATACTAAATTTTTCTAATTTTTCAGTCTCGGGTCTCAAAAAAAGAACTTAAATACCCATCTAACCATGACTTGTATTCCCCAACTATAGTCATATAAAATTGGTTTTTTAACCTCAAAATACAACTTTAAATTTAAAAACTTAAAAATTATATATGTGTATGTATGTGTGTATATATATATGTCATTCAATGAATTTTTATAAATGCATGATGGGAAAAAAAATTACATTGAAGAACCAGGACGAGAAAATATTTTTGAGTACCTAATAACAGGTAAGGGCAATTTTGACCTGGAAAGATGCGTGAGATCTAAGAACCTGTTATTTTGCCTAATGTTTCTCTTTAATAATAGTTAACTTTGCTCATTTTATGTAATTTTTTATATCTTTTTTTATCATTTTCTAATCAATTAATAACAATAGTTAATTTTTGTTAGTGATAGGAGTAACATTTTTCTATTTTTAATTATTGAAACAACATTGCACAAAAAATTTGGGGTTATGGATGTTTCTATATTTATTGTTGGAGAATAAAATTAAGAAAAGCAAAATACAATGGACGAAAGTCCTTCATGGACGAGTTTTCTTCAGGGACAAGTGCTCTTATGGATGGGTCTCGGGGATCCTTATGGCAGAAGTAATCCTTCAATGGTTTTTGAAAGGAAAGGGAGTGGACTAACCCAAAAAAAAAAAACCAAAGCGCTTATTTGGAAAAAGCAAACGAATGGCACCTTTTTTTTATGAAAGCATATTGTAGTTGATTGACTGATGGCACTTTCACCACAGTGACTAACGCAGGGAAGATAATCTGGTCATTTAAAAAAAAAAAAAAAACTTATGCTTGTCGTTGATTTTTTTTTTTTTCTCGACAGACATGCTTGTCATTGTTGTTTATCAATCTATCTATTGATAAAATAATTATAATTATAATTATTAATTACTCCCTCTTTTTAAAAATATAATATATTTTTTAAGAAATTAAATATTAAAAAATATAAGACATTTTGAGTTTTTTAAGGTGTAATCATTACTTTTTTTAAGTATTTCTATTAAATAGGTTATTTTTTTTATTTTTTAGGATGAAACACTTTATTAAATAAGGATAGATATGGAGAAATATTGTTATATTAAATATAAGTAACTACTTTGTTGAGGCTGAGATGGGGTTAAGAATGTCTTATATTTTTTAACAGATGGAATAGTTGATCGATACTTGATTTTTTAACAAGGGTTAAGGACAAGTCTACTCTTCAAATTTTCACACAGGCGCATCTAATATCCTCGAGTTTTTCTAAGTTCAATGTCGCCTTTCATTAGTGTTGACCGTTAAATGGACTATAAATTGTTGATATGACTTACATAATAAAGCCACATAATCTCTTCTCACTCCATTACCACTCTCTCTTCACATCCAAACTCTACCGTATCCCTTCTACCTTGTTTGAGATCTCATTCTCTTGAGAAAAATTGTCCCTTTCTTCCTTAAGCTTCCCTTCTCTCCCTCTCCCTCTTCTCTTCTCTATAGCCTTCTTCTTCTATGAATCAACCAAAAAGAAAAAAAAAGGCTCATTATTCAATCAAGATCATTAGGATGAAACAATTAAATCTATAAATCATACTCCAAATTGTATAACAAAACCATCTAGTAGTGATGAAGCCAGTGGTAAAACTGTCGAAGAAGAAGCAAGTGTTGATAGGGAGGGGCTTTCTTTGCAAGAAAGTATAAAACATGCTAAAACCCAAATCAAAATGAATTAACTCCAATGTCATACCAAATTCCATCAAAACATCCAAAATCCAAACAGGAATCACGAGATCGAACATAGAAAATTAGATTTTAAAAAAATGCTCTTTATGTAAATAAGAAATTGATGCAAGTACTTGAAACTAAGACAATCAAACTTATATTTCTTCCCAAATCCCAAAATTAAAACAAGAAAAAAATGCAAGCATTGGAAACTAAAATTGACTCCACTAGATGCTGATGAGATTGACGGAAGAGTTAGGGGCCACAGGTTGCTAATTTAAGACCTTTGAACGAATCCAAAACTAAAACCAAATTGAATTTGATGGTGAACATCAAACCCATTATACTCAAAGCTAGATCGAACCCATCAAGCAAGTAAGATTATGCCCATTGAACCTAGCTTCAGACTCCATTCCTCTCCTGAACTCAAGGCTGTGCACGAGCTCTTCCATCATGCGAGGACGTCAACGAACTCAAGGGTGTGAGATTTGGGTTTGGGCGAATCCCTTTTCTCAGCTTTGTAGAAGAAAATGAGGAGAAGATGAAGCAGATGAATACGAACATTGAGGTGAAATTGTGTCAAAAAATACCTTAAAATACAAGGTATAATTGGTTAGAAATATTAAGGGTGGTTTTGTACTATAATCCTTTTAACAATAAAATTGCATCTTTTTGATTTTGTACCATTTTAAAACATTGCTAAATTTTCATGTAAGCGTTGAGATCGAGGCCAGTTATCATTGTTAAAATCATTGTTTTTAGTAATAATAATTTTAGGTATTTTAACTTAAAATTCATGAATTTTAAATTTCTCGATATCATTTTCTTAATTTTTTATAGTTATAAATTTAAAATAATTCTAAATTTAATATTTCATGATGTTAATATCTTTAACTTCACATTTTAAAGTGTAAATTTTAACAACACACTTATAAGTAGCTCGATAGCCAACCATCTATCAAATGGCCAAACAAAAATCAGCATAATGCACATTGCTCCAACTCCTAGCTTACAAGTTATTTCAAGGTTTTCTTTTTTTTTTTGGCAAAAAAAAAATCTACAATTTATCACAGCTTGGCATTGCAACGTGCAATGGGAAATATTTTATTTATTTTCTATCTTAATTTTTTTCTCAACTAATGAGGTTATTGATAGAGTTGTTAATTAGAACTGAGCCCGTTGGGTTGTCCCTTTTAAACCAAAAAGTAGGATCTGATTGCTACTTTAGAGAGCAAAATGATAGCCCTTTTAAGCTCTAAAATAAAAAAGTTGGCCTTTTTAAGTCTTTTTATAATTTGTTTAAATTTTAGTATTAAAAAAATTAAACACTATACTAGTTTTAAAACCTAACCTCATTTCATGTGGATGAAGAGAAAATATATAAAAGTTTAATATTTTTGCCACTATTGAGACTTTACAAAGAGAATGATGGAATTATATTGATATTGATGATAATAAAAATTATCAAGATTTTATTGATAATTCTAGCAAAGTCTGATTGTTATAGGTGTTGATTTTGTGATGTTATTTTTTTTATCAAACTTAAATTTTTTATCATGTGTATTGATTTAAATTTATTTTTATAAATTTAATATTATATGTAATAACTTTTTTAAAAATTTTAATATATTTTTTAAATTAAAAGATATAAGGTCGAGGTCTTAAGAGCTGACCACCATTTAATTTTAAAGTTAGGGTTCGATTGACCAAAATAAAATCTTAAATTGTAATCAAATTTTATAAAATCAGTCCGCTTAGGTCCTAAATCTTAATTGAATCTTTAGTTTTTGTAGTTTTTAATCCTAATTTTTTGTAAGGCGGCTAAGAAAAGCCTGACCTCAATACCTAGTGCCCATGCCAACCTTAGTGGCCAATTTATTTTACTCACATCAAGGGGAAAACCCAATTTCTAAGAGGTCGAGGACTTGGGGCTGTGGGAATGAGATCATAGTAGTGTAAGTTGGAGAAGGTAGAAGTTTCACCCATTCTCACGTCTCCTTATACTAATACACAATCTCAGGGAAGGAGGCGAAGAGAGGCACACAAACTCAATAAGCGTATGACTTCCAAAGTCATGTTAAATTAAAGAATTTACGTGTGACTGTAATTTCATCGTCTTCTACGCAACCAAGCCCTCTTCTTCTCTTACCTTCATGCTCTTCGTTTTCTTCGCTTTGATTAACGTCTTCGCTCCTTGGATTAACCTTCTGTCTGCTGTTTTCAACCCCTAAATTTCGTGGCTTTTGCCTAAATTTTATTACTGGCATCCACTACTTCAGCTATTTCTGTCTGTACTGCATCATTCCTGGCTTCTTCCATGAGTGTTGCTTAGTTCCAGGTAATTTTTTTTTTACCCACGACAATGGGTAATGATGTTTCCAGTTTGTTCTTCTTCTTAATATTTTTTTGATGGGTTTTGATTCTATTAACTAAAATTTTGATGGGGTTTCATTCTATTGACCGAAATTGGCTTAGAAGCTACCAGCTATCAGTAGCGTGATCGTTCTTGTTCAGGACTAGTATGTTTTGCAAGTCGGTCGTACTTTAATGCCCCAAATAGTTAGTTGAT